TAGGCGCAAGCTAAGCCTATTCACCAGAGGAGGCACCACTCGCTATCGTGTATGTACATTATTGAATTGGTCAACAATACACGTTTGTACTTCAATCGTCTAGGTCGCTCAATAAAGTTGAGCCTGGTATGTGGTAGAGTCATGGCGTCAAAGTGTAAAGTCGAGTGAGAGAAGTGCATAACACTAACACTAACAACAGCTGCAACAAGGTTGATTTGCGCGGCATTATCAATAGTGAAACTAGATCAAGATAGACGGACGGTATCAGCTACTCAGACAGTCATCACAGGGCTGGCAGGAAGACGGGGCCGCTTGGAACGGCTGGGACTCGTATTGGACTCATCATTTGGTTCGTCGCTGTCCTCGGCTCCTTCTGAATCATCCCCCTGAACTCCTTCTCCAGCACTCTCCTCACTGGAGTGCTTCTTCGCCGGCGCGCGCGCGCGAATCGTTCGCTTTTTTGCCCCAGTAGGTGCAGGTGCCAACGTCCCATTTCGCCACGCACTGTGCCAAATGTCAAAGCAGCTCATCGCCTTCCCATTCACTACATGTCGTGCTTTCTCACAGAGAAAAACACGCCAGGCCAGAGGTTTCTCCGACGAGTTTGGAAGCTTGCACTTACTGCAGTACACGGATGAGTCGCCACCGCGAGCTCCGTCAGTGCCTTTGAGTATCGAGCAAACTTTGCACGCACGAGTTCGTCGCTTTCTCCCCTTATTGTTGTTGCCAGCACGCCACTCGTCATTTAGCTGCGGTCGATGGGCGGGTTGTCGTCGGCCAGTAGCATCGCCACTTCTAGAAAGTGTCGCTTGGAAGCATTCGTTGCTGCGTAGACTATCCCAGTCCTCCTCACGCAGCTGGCACAACTCCAAGTGCAACTTCTTCAGAAATGTGACGTGGTTCACCTTTGGAAGGGTTGCAGTAGCACGAGCAGCGTTGTACACGATGTATGCGTTGATAATTACGAGGTCAATAAGACCAAGAAAGAGAGACTTGTAGTACTTCTTGAATTTGATGCAAAGCTGCAGCGAGTATCTGTAAGGTGAACATACATGATTAGATGCTAAGGTAGGTTGTATAGACACGATAAGAACACTTTACCTTTGTAGCCTTAGTTGGTCATGCACGTCGACGCCCCCCATGAACGTTTGATAATCTTTGACAACACGAGGGCACACAACTTCTTGTTGTTCTCCAGTCAGCTTGTCGCGACGTACGATGCGGTCCATTTTCACGCTACCACCCGTGCTTAGCATATGAACCGCCCGAGTATCCCACCACCGCAAACATCTCATGTTTGGAACGTGGAGCGCATCTGATGTGATGAACGTCCCTCGTTCAATGTTTGCAGGTCGATTCTTGGGTATTTTAGGAGACTTAATCCCATGCATTTTCTTCTTCGGGAAGAGCTCTGCACTGAGCCCCAGTCGGTCGGAGCGCACCGTCCCAATAAAATAGAAGCCTATCATCAGTAACACCATTGACAGCGCCACAGACGAGTAATAGTTGTCCATGACAACGAGTCGCATAGCTCCATCTGAAGATGGTTTCGGTCCAAAAACGTTGCGGAGGTTCCGACCCACAGCAGCTGGCCCTGTCATCTCGTCAGCTGAGCTGGTGACTCCTGCTCTATCCTTCTTACCACAATAGACTTCAAAACTGTTGCATACAACATAGAGCTAATGTCAGCTAGGACCATACATGATAAAAGAACTTCGGAGCCAAAAAAAATAAGGACGTGTCTTTAGACACGCCCAATACTTACCGGATGCAATATGCCGACTTCGCACAGCAGAGCATAAATAATTTAGTGCCCCACTTGTGCGGCTTGTCCTTCATGAAGACACGCATACGGTTGAAAGTAGATCTCGAGGGTAGCATCGCTTCGTCAAAGGCCATGATGGCAGGTGCAATATAACCAGCAGCAAAACGCGCTTGTAGTGCTATTATCACCGGTCGTAACTTCCAAGCACGATCAGTGAAGGCACGCTCATCACTGTTACTGCTAAAGTGAAGGTTACGCGACACATGCATGAAGCGATCGCGAGTCATGAATTGCCCGAAGCAACCGCGGGGAATAGCCCCTTCATCAGTCGTTTTCCAGTGGTTTGCCATTTTTTCCTTGTTTGGGGTTATTGATCGAGCGATCAAGAGGCCGATAAATACACACAGATCTCTAGCGGTGATGGGCGCCGCTTTCAGCACGTCTTCTCTGATACGCTCTTGCGACTTGCTCTTGAACTCGGGGTCTTTCCGCTCACGCGCCATTTGTTTTGCATGCTGTCCCTTCACCCGTTCATCAAGTTTCTCTTCGAAGTAGTCATTCGACTCAGCAGCAATTGATTCCCATAGCTCCGGCTGGGCGAAATAAAAGAAAGCTCCAGAAGGTGTTGCGGCAGCTTGTAAAGCCTTAGCGGTAGGGCCAGACTGACCGCTGAATAGATGCGGATAGTCCTCTTGCATTGAACCTGCCGGTCGTGTTTCGTATGGCTCCATCAGGGGGTCGTACGGTGTGTGCGTCACTTGATTCGACCAGCCCGTTGCCGACATCTCTCTCAGAAAATCATCTGGTACTGTTCCGGCAGATATGTTTGCCAAACCACCAACCGCCGATATGAAGTCATCATCAAACTTTCGCTCAGGGGGGACAGGAAGCTCCACGTCCAGATCGTCAAGGCCATCCTCTGACGACTTGTCGTCTTCTCCGTCATCGGTTTCAGCATCGGACTCAAGTACAGCAAATCCAAGTTGGGCATGGCCAGCTTGGTTGCCGTTTGGTGTAGCTTCAAACACAAGATACATGTTAGTGAATAGTATTATCGTGTATGTACATGATACAACATATAGGTACCTTCAACACGTAATGGATCTACCACATTGACGCCACTGCTCTCTCCAGTATCCGATTGATCATGTCGACTGTCGCTGTATTCTGACAAGACCTTACCATCTTCAGCTTCGTCAAATGCATTGTTGAGATTGCGCCGGCCTACAGGATAGTGGAGACATACACGATTAGACAATCTGCTAACATGTTCATACACGACAGGTACACTCGCCTGTCAGAGTTTCCTCTTCGTCAGAAGCTGTTTCTTCACACGCCATAGAGTGGGGAGACACTGCCCAAGTTACGTCACCACTTTGAGCAGTCGCAGCGATAGGACGCGGGCTTCCACGCCTTGGCGTTACTGGACTCTCCTGTAGCTCTTCAGTCTCATGTGCTGATGCGATACAAGCTAGCGCAAAAAGACATGATTAACGTCAAGATAACGTGTATATACACGCTGCCTCACGTACCTTTAGCTGGAGCTGGATTTTGTGGCGAGTCACTTTGCTGGGAGGCTTCGGACGCTGCTGTAAGCTCCGCTACGACATTAAAACGTGTCAATGCAAAGCAAACAAGTAGAAGAGCACAGGTAGTCCTACCCCGATCCATCGCGTCCAAGTAGAGCATCAACACGTTTTCTCCAACGAAAAGGCGACATCGCGCTTGTCCTTCTTGCTCTTCCCCGGCTTCAGGTACGTGAAGTCGACCGAGAGACCGGTTGGTCTCTTCGAGGTCCATCCTGCTTTCTTCAGCTCGCACCAGCGAGCGCGGAATGCCATGACTGTGGCTTGAGTCTTGTCCGCCAAATCTTCAAATGAAACCGATTGAGTGGTGTCGATCATTTCCCTGCCATTACTTATATGAGATTTGGCACGCGTGTCTATCTCCTCTAACTTCTTATACGGGCGTCCTTTCTGCGCGACTCATCTATGCACTTCCAGCGGGAAGCTTGGATACATCACCTACCCCGCGTTGACTTGACCTTTGTAAGAGCATATACAAAACACAAGTATAAATTTCCTTAACGTGTATGGTCCACGTTAAGAAAAGGAACGTAACGTGTAAGGTCCAGGCTCTCGGGTTGAAGGGGTTAAGCAATCGTTGTTGGAAAAAGTTGGACTCAATGATCTTATTAACGACGCACAGATATCACTTCTATCGCTGCAGCTAGTGACAGTAGACAAGCGAGCACTTGCAATAATGGCGCCCTTGATACCACGTACTAAGCGTGCTTTGTTGATGTACAGTCTCGTTGGGTACTTGTCAATTATTATAAACTGACGCTCTTCTTTATCATTATATTATTATACAAATAAGCTGTATCTGTTGTGCATTTCATTTAAAAACTTTATGGTACGGGCTGGATCTGCTCGCATGTTATTGATTCGCTTGATTTGTTAGACAAGCTGAAAATTGGTCTTTCTCTGCAGAAACTCCCAATGCGAGGACTAGGGCGGCCGCGTTCTCTTGTAGGAGGGTTGCAACGCAATTCTGACTCGTACGACGTTGATCGGCTCATTCACCAAACATCCCGGTAGAACTTTATAGTGGCCTGTCGTCCAAGAATTTGACATACAAGATATAGTGAAAACCTACAAGGAGCACCGCGTCGGTCAAATTGCAGGCTGTTGACTATCTAAAACGGAAGGTGTGTACGTGTGGAGCATCGTCTTTATCTACGGAGACTCGTTGGGATATCAGGTAGAGGAGCTGGTTAGACGGGCAGATGCACTTACTCAGTGATACCTGTCTTCCTCACAGTACCTGTAGTACTTTCATAATAAGCCTACATAAGCTTAAAAGATATTCCAATAGTTCGCAGATTATTTGGGGCCCCAAATGATAAAAGTGGCCTCCGTTGTGGTACCCTCGAGATAAAAGTCCCTTATCTGGGTGCCCGCGCACAGCCTTGTTCTGATTATATGCCAAGATAGCGCAAATAGAACGGGCATGCAATGAAAGCCTATCTAATAGCTCCACCTGCTGTTTCTCGTTACAAATGGCTGTCCCAGTCTGTGCTTCGTACTTAATTTTATCTGTAGAAGGACTTATTGTAAGCTCATTACTACACATTCTAAATTCTAAAAATAATGTATTTTTTTAATATTACGCATACAATAACTGTATTATCCATCATTTCACTTCCAAGCACTTTTATTAATCATTTTTACAGCTTCAACAAAGTGGAATCAACATGCGATTGAATAGGCTGTTGACCATTTATATTCAGTAGGTTACGTTCCCTACAGCTCACTGACGTCACTTGCCTTTTATCATGCTCCAACTTAACCTCATTTCCCGATTTGCTTCCAAGAGCACGAAGCAATTTAAAATCTCCACGTTCTCCACGTTCTCCACCATGACCACCAGTAAGCCTGCTCCGTACGACTATAAGATCGAGCCCAGTGCTGACGCTCTATTTCCTGCTGAGAAGAGTCGCTACCACCTCTATGTTTCGTATCCGTGTCCGTTTGCCTGTCGTGCACTTGCAGCGCGCAACTTGCTCGGCCTTGAAGACGTCATTAGCCTCTCTGTGGCGCACCCCGTTGCTCAGAAGACAAAGCCCACTGACCCCAATGACGAGCACAAGAGCTGGGCCTTTGTGGACCCGGCAAAGTCACCTACGATGGTTGGTGCTAATGGCAAGATTTACCCGACAAATGACTGCGTGCCAGACACGGTGAACCACGTGACGTTCGTTTGTGATCTTTACGAGAAGGTGGATACCGCACCGCGTACGTTCTCAGTGCCCGTGTTGTGGGACAAGAAGAAGGGCACGATCGTATCGGAGGAGTCCACGGGTATTCTACGTACGTTTGACTCTGGATTTCGTGAGCTGGTGCCGTCTGACGTCCACTTGTACCCTGAGGAGCTGCGAGCGGAGATTGATGCTGTGAATGACGGGATTGTGACTGAAGTTACTATGAGTTTCTCCAAGAAAATGTTCGCTCCGACGGAGACCAAGGCCTATGAGGCTCTGGCTAAACTGGATAAGATGCTGGCCAAAAAGAGGTTCTTGGTGGGAAAGGGCGTGACGGAGGCCGATGTGCATTTGTTCCACACACTCATCCGACTGGACACGTTCCAGCCGAAGACGGACAGGCACCTGACGTACTACCACAACATTGAACACTATTTGCGTGAACTATACCAGATCCCCGGACTGAAAAGCTCCGTGAACTGGAAACACATCAAGCTCGTCGTGGCTAATATGGCCCCACCAGGGCTGTGCAGTAATCCGGCCCACCAGTAGAAAATAGTACTATAGTACTATTACTATTACTATAGTACTCAGTAACTCGGCCAATTTTGATACTACTGTTACAGCAGTACTCAGTCACTGGAGCTCGGATAGTACTATCGAATTACTGCCAAGATCCAGAAGAAGAAGGAACACGCTCCGTTTTGACCACCACACTGGATTTCCGAATGGCTTGATCACTAAGCTGTATGCGGCATCGGTATGTCTATCGTGTCATGTTCCCGTCGTTTTCTTCACTCGAACACGACGGGTTTGCAAGTTGAATGGCTGCTGGTGAGCCTTCAAGCACAATTGCAAAGTAATTTCGTTCAGCGAGTCCTGTTCGGGTCTGATGCGCAGGCCAGTCTCATTTACTTGCGATCTGAGCGAGCTTTCACTCACTTTGCGATTTTCATTGCAACCCAGACTTCCTTTCCAGCCCGCTCAACGCCTCTCTCGCGCCAATGAAGTGCTCTTTTGTTGGATGTGACTACCCCGACATCGCGGTAACGGATCCTTGCTCCGTTTTTTAAAGGCCGGTCCATCATCTCTGCTCTAACAGTCTATACGACCCGGACAACATCGCCGTGCGATAAGTAATATTTAAACATTATAGATATTCTATGGTTGAATTCACTTTACTAACAGATGCGTTATAGATTTTGCAGCGCGTCGTGTATCACGAATTGGAGAGCCAAGAATCTGTCTGCGGGGACTGTTGCTGCGGACGATCGGCGACATACCTTCGAGATTGTGGGGTGGGCGCCTGAATCATCTCAAGAACTTGCCGTTAGCCAGGACTCTACGGATACGACGGAGCTACTGAGCAGCCAGTCGTCGGAGGCAACGTTGCCGCCCGACAGTCCTGTTGGCGTGGACTCATACGGGATCCCGATTGATGTGCATCACTTCCGTGAACCTGGTAAACGCGATAACGTGTGGGACGTGGCACATGTACTCGCAGCTCCCTATGCGGTGGGTGATGATGATGATGCTGATCGATTCACCCATATATGCATTCTATGTGCGGCAACCGCCACCAGCCAGGCAAACCACCCCGGAGATGCGTGGATGAGCGGGCTTCGGCGTTGGAGTCACACTTCCAATGCCAAGGACCACATGGTCTCAAAACATGGCAATTTTCCGGGCGGTATGGCTGAGATGCAGAAGCGAGTCAAGCGAGCTCGGGACCAATTTGAGTCGACCCCTGGATACTTGTCTCGGAGCATTGTCGATTTATCTGCCCACTTGTCGTCCCAAGCGCCGATGGCAAAACGAGGTGCACTGCAAAGGCTATGGGGCCCGACGGCAAAGGAGCTTAACGTGCACATTGCCAGGTGGTTGCTCAATGACGGTCTACCGTACAACACGGTGGTAACAGAAGACTTCCGCAACTTTGTTCGCTTGATTTCGGGGAACACTACCGTTCTCGCCCAGAGGACCTATTATGGTATGATGGATGCCTCGTTCGAACGGTTTTGTTTCTTGACAGAAGGCATGCTGTCCGCTGAATTCAGGGCCTTGTACATCTGTCCTTCCTCAATGTGCTGCATGACGGCTGCACCACCGGAAGTGGTAAAAAGGGGCTAGTCGGAACTTCTGCAAGTTTCATTGACTTGAGCTGGGAGCTCGTCAATATCGCGCTGTTGGTCACCGTGTACAACGGCTCACATGACTCGTGCAAGATCAAGACGCTGATCACTTCTAGGATTAGTGAGTTCTACGGGATCGACATCGAGTCAATGGCGCAATTTACGATGTCTGATACCGCGCCTAGCGCCAAGAAGGTCTCGAAACTATTTGAGGACTCTCTACCGACGGACTGCGCCATGCATGTCTTGAATCTGTGCCTTGTATACGGTATGGGCATGCGAAAGAACTATGAGACTGTCTATCTGCTGGACCCCACGACAAACAAGCCGAAAAAGGAGCGGCGCTTGTGCACGGTTGGCGGACCATTTCCGGAGGGAGCCACCTTGATCAAGAAGGCTCGAAGTCTGAACAACTACTTTAACTCACCGCAAAGGGCTGAACGTCTCGCCAAGGTGCAGCAAATCTACTGTCTCCCCGAGCTGAAAGCAATCGTCGATTGTGACACTCGCGTAGCATCCTCCGTAACTCTTTTCCAGCGCACTATCCTCAATTACCCCGCGCTCAAAGCATATTTCCAGCACTGTGAGAGTTACGACGATCCGGCCTATTTCGAAAAGTTTACATTCAGTGAGTGGAGACTGCTGGTGGAAGTTGAAGCGATCACGCACTCGTTGGCTGACCTCGCGCGCATTGACGTACAGCGCAGCAACCAAGTCTCATCAGAGCTTATCGCTTTGATGAAGTATGCGCTTGACCGGCTCGCCACAGACACATTCCACATCTACGATCTCGACGCTGCGAGATCACCAAAGCCAAACGAGAAGTCACTTCCCCGTAACGATGTTCAGATTGACGCACTCTCAGACAAGGCCATGATTTGTGTGAACCGGATTAAGGGGCAAGTTATGAAGAGGCTGCCCACGCTTACGGCTGAGTCGGTGGTTATCTTGTTGCTCGACCCCCGAACGAAGCTCACGGTCGACAGTCTCATTCATCCTCCAAAGCTACGCCAAGAAGCCGCCGTTGGTGGGGTTGTCTCTGGTGAAGGCTCCGATGATACCGCTGGGCTCGCAGAAGACGCAGGTGATGTGAATACCGTTATAAGCAAGGGCGAGCAAATGCTTCGCAACGCACACCGAGAAGTTTTTCGGGCAATCCACGGTTCCAACACGAATAACAGCCTGCACACGGACGTGGATACACCACCGCATCTGGACTTGGTACCGTCGGTTGACGACGAGTTAGTGATGTGTGGCGCGCCATTGGTTGCTTCATCTTCAAGCAACACGCCTGTGGACAGCCTTCACGACCGAGCCGATGAGGTCCTTGCGAAGTGGTACCAGCACAGTGTGAACTGGGTACCCGTTGCGCTCCAACAAGCATCGGACGACCAGTTGACGGAAGCAGACTTCACCAAGTTACTCCTAGTCCGACGCAAAAACGACGTTTGCTGGAACTTGCAAGCTCTATGCGAGCACATCGACATTTGCCATTGGTACCGTGAGACTGGGGCTGCAACATTCCCGTCAATTGCTGCTCTTGCCCGTGTATGGCTAGGCCTTCCAAGAGCGTGTCTTCTCAACGGGAGCCTTTGTCATGGGACCTCTACGTACAAGCACAGACAACCGTCGAGCTGAGATCCAGGTGCTGATGAAGTACAACCGTGCGAAGATTCGGCGAATGGAGCATGCGAGCATCCGCGTTTGCGAGAAGGTTGACCATGCAGCGTCCCTCTAGTTGGTCGAGCAGCGGGAGCACAAGCGAGAGTGTGGACCGCACAAGCGAGAGTGTGGACCACACTTGACAATATTAAGCTGGTCGTAAGCAGTAGTTAGATAGTACTACAGTACTTCTACTAAGTAGTTCAGACGCCGTGAATCGAGTTACTGAGTACTGCAGTAGGTTTCAGCTTTGCATCCTTCTACTGCCGCCAGTACTTTGGAAAAAGTGGCAGTACTGCACAGCCCTGGGCCCCACACATTGCAGCGGAAGGCCCATTTGTGGATTATGACACGGCTCACGACCGATCCAAGCTTGTATAAGCCCCGTATGACAAACGTACCAGTAGTCTAATGTTTAGTCAGTCATCCGATCTTCGCCCATATTATATTGCGATCACCCTTTGCAGTTGAAACGCGGCGCAACATTTAACGTCTGGGAGAAGTCGCAACCAGTCTATTAAGAACAACTCTTTATTCAAGACAGATTTAGCTTACCCAATTGGACTCCACGTGCCCGAATCGAAACGGGTGCACACCAGTGTTGTAGGTGAGTGGTGGGACGCTGTGCATGTTCGGATCCGCCATGACGAGCGTCCTAAAGCAGGTTATGTTTAATGCGCAGTTCGAAGAATTCGCAGGGGCGAACTACTCTACATACTATTTGCGTTACTCACAGTCAGGGATACCCAAAAATACGATAAAATGGAATCGGAAGGTTTGTCAAGAAGTACATAACGCGTGAGACCCTTACAGGCAATGCTCTATATATCGTGGTCACGTCGTAGTAGGATGTGTTTATTTTCAAGAACAAGATCATTTTCAGCGTCAAAGGCGAGATCATTTATCTAAAACTAGATGAATGCCCTCGGCAACTTCGAAAATTGGTTGGAACTCAGGAGCTCTATGAAATGCATTACAGTATTCTGCGTGAATAGCGAACGGGTCATAAACTTATAAGCTAGCACAAAGAATAATACCACACATTTCAACATTTGAAATTGGCGCGCTTTTGGCGATCTTTTTCGCCTTGCACATGTATGATGTAGTTGAACGGACCTTCATATTTAAACTTACCCCGCCGTTGCTAAGCTACCAAATGCGTCCATGCCCCGCAATTTTACGAAGCGGCTACGCTTTACCTGGGCCGAGAAGGTGGCCATCATCAAGAAGCGAGCACCCTCTCCTACTATGTCCTACAAGGCAATCGTTGAATGGGCCGTAAACGAGTTCTGTCTCCCAACCACTCCCGGCAAAGCCATGATGTGTGGTATTTTTAAGTCGTTAGCTACACTACTGAAGCAACCAGTGGAGAAGGCTACACTATTATAATAAAAATGATGCATGCATCACATCGCGTAGGAGAAGGACACGCAGAGCCTTATAAATTGGCTTCATTTACTGCATTGATGTGGTGCTAGGGTGCGTGGTCGAAGGTAAGCGCGACAACCATTCAACACTGTTGGCAACATTCGGGTTTAGCTAACAAAGCGAGCATCAATTACTTGCTTTGATATCTTATATCAATACATGCTGTTTTCGCTCCATTCATGCAGAATACTGTACCTAGTCTTACAAAATGACAACATAAATCACGGCTGAAAGTACTCAAATAAATTATTTTTTAAAGAATTGTTTTTTTTTCGGTGTGTCATTTTTTGGGCATCCGTACTCCAGCATCTAATAATAAGCGTCGTGTGGTCCGGAGCGGAGCTCACCATGAAACTCGAGAGCAATTATAAGTTAAATTTTAATATAACGATTAAT